CAGTGATGGAGCATTCACAACATCTTAAGGCCAGCCATTCCACAGATTAATTGTTCTTACTGACAGGAAATTTCTCCTTAGTTCTAGGTTGGTGCTTTCTTTAATGATCTTCCACCTGTTACTTCTTGTCCTGCTGTCAGGTGCTTTGGAGAATAGTCGACCCTCTCTTCTCTGTGACAGTCCCTCAAATCCTTGGAAGACTACTATCATATCACCCCAATCCTTCTCTTTGTTAAACTAGAATATACCTAGTACCCTCAATCTACTACCAATCTCTATTTTTGTCCCCCTGGACAATAAGTTGAAACAAATCTGATATTGTTGCTGGGCTTCCAAGCATAGCCCTTCTCTTTTTAAAAATTTAAAACTAGGTTTCACTAGGGAGAAGAAATTGAGATCAGTATCTAGGAGCTTAGTATGAGAAGTACATACAGTTTGGCTATTATTGGTTAATTTGGGGCTTCCTAAGCACGATTATTATATATCCAGTTGTCACTTTTCAGTCAGAAAGAGGAAGGAGTTATCTTCAAAAATTACCATCTTAATCTCTTACTACAGTGAAAATTCTTCCATTTTAATCCTTTCTGACCTGCTGTCCCAACACGTATTTGAAGTGTTAATGAGCATAGTTATCTGGCTAGTAGTGAACAAAATAAAAATAAAGAAAACTAGAGTGACAAGATTGCTTCGCTAGATTGTGTCAGATTGCTGACAGAAAGGAAGAAAAGAAGAATAGCAACAAGTCTAAACTTATGTATGTGAAGTGTTTGCATCTAAGTGTACTAGAATGTTTCAGTTTATGTTCTCATTGGTAAAAGCAGATATCAAGATTTTTGTGGGTATTTTAGTACGTTAAACATTTTGGAGTACAGGTGGTCCTTGACATAGGAGCACAATTGAGCCCAAAATTTCTGTTGCTAAGTAAGCAAATTCAGGGAATTTTGTCGATGAGATTCAGCCGGTTCGCATCGGTTCGGTAGAATCGGTAGCTAAATTTTGTTGAGTTCGGAGAACCGGCTGAACCCATGCTGTTTCCAGAAGTCCATTCTAGGCCTCGGAGGCCTGGAGGACGCCTCCCAGGTCTAGAACAGCCCACAGGAAGTGTATGGATGTCACTTCCGGAAGTCCATTCTAGGCCTCAGAGGCCCAGGCCTGCATCCACGTAGAGAACTGGATGTTCAGGTATTTGAATCCCACCACTGAATTTTGTCCCCTTTGTTCTTGCCACAGTTGTTAAGTTAGTAACATGGTTAATTTGGCTTTCTCAATAACTTTGCTTGTCAGAAGGTTACAAAAGGTGATTGATCACATGCAGCCATCATAAATACATGCCAGTTGCCAAGTGTCCGAATTTTGATTACATGATCACGGAGATATGGCAACGGTCATAAATGTAAAAACAGTCGTAAGTTACTTTTTTCAGGGCTGTTGTAATTTCAAACAGTCACTAAACAAATGGTTATCAAGTGGAGGATTACCCGTACTTGCAGAAGATTTAACATTGTTAATGAGGAAGCATGGTTTTTTTTTAAAAAAAATTGATAAGATTACTTTTCTTTTCCAGAAATAGTGAAATATTGTCTGTATTGAATGCAGCAGTGCACATTGTCCTTCCCTCCAAGAGAAGCCTTATCTGTCAAACAGTGATGTGCAAGTATTGTACTAGTATAAATTATATAGCAGGTGGATGAAGATGAGACACATGTGGTAAAAAGTATCGGAGTCTTAAATATAATGCAACATGAGAATATCCTTTGTCTTTTGAGAAAGATGTTCTTTGTATCTTATGGAATACAGAAATATATTTGCATTCCAACATAGGTCATACGTTGGAATTTCTTAAACAAATTTAATAATAAACCAAAGGAACATAGCACATAAGTGATCTGGGAAGACAGGGAGATGCTATGAGTTTCCATGTGTTTCATCCCAAAGTTTTATTTTAAATTTGTTATTCATAAAGGAAGAGCAGAAGATTGGGATGGGTCCTTTGAAGTGGAAAACAAAGTCTTTTATTCAGGCTTGGATCTTATAAAATACACATGACACAGGCTTGGCATCACCGTCTGCTGTAAAAGTGCACTGCTTGTCATTTTTTGCTTTCCTATACTGGGAACACTGGTGGGAACAGATACTGTCCTGGAACAAAAACATGATTAATTATATCCTGCTGCCTCTAATAGTATACACCCCAGGCAATCAGTTAAAGGAATTATTAGAAAGAAATTGGATGAGTGAAACCTTAGGTACGTATATTAATGCCTGGCCAGGGAATTTTTAGGTTCAGAGATAATTAGTCCTAAAAGACGCAGATAAAAAGCTGTTGTCATTTTCCAGCATATCTTTTAAAAGAGCAAAATAATCATAATTGTATTCAACTATTTTAGTTTATGGTTAATCGTGTGACTGTTTTAGGGGCATTGGGTTTCAGGTTTATCTTTTGACTTCATGAAAACACAGGTAATCCTTGACTTACGACCACAGTTCAGCCCAGCATTTTTATTGCTAAGCCAGATAGTTGTTAAGTGAGTTTTGCCCCATTTTACAACCTTTCTTGCCACAGTTGTTCAGTGAATCACTGCAGTTGTTAACTTAGTGACACGATTGTTAAGTGAATCTGGCTTCCCTATTGACTTTGCTTGTCAGAAGATCGCCAAAAGTGATCACATGACCCTGGGACGCTGCAACTGTCATAAATGCATGCCAGTTGCCAAGTGTCCGAGTTTTGATCACGTGACCATAGGAATGCTACAATGGTCATAAATTGTGAAAAAAAGATCATAAATCACTTTTTTCAGTGCCATTGTAACTTTGAATGGTCACTAAATGAATAGTTGCAAGTCAAGGACATTTATGAATGTAAATTTGAAAGACTGTACTACATTTATGAATGTAAATTTGAAAGACTGGGGCTATCTTGTGTTATCCAATCATACAGTGTTGGATTATTTGGTCCCCGTGAGTCATGACAAATATTTTTAACATCCCCAGCCCAATGTAACTCTTTCTGCTGTTGGCATTCCTCTAATTCTGCTAATCTCTATCAGAAAGGCAGCAAGTGGTTTGTCATGCTTCATAGTATATTATCACAATATAGCACAATAGTTTGTGGATTTTGTGCCTCTAAAACCAGTTCTGAGAACAAAATAAAGAGAGGAGTAATTTTGCACTTCAAAAAGACTGCCAATTTGTACTAGCCATGTGTGTATGCATAATTTTTTTTTTACTTATTTCTACTGATCTTTTCTTGTTTTCTTGCCTATTCTTAACTGATGCAGAATATTATATCTGGGGACTTCTTAGGAGTGAGTCCCATGATAATATGTTCAGGAACTATTGAAAAAAATCTTCCCTGCACTGTCAATGGTAAATTTATGCTCTGTGTTATTTTTCTGTGGGGAAATCACTTGGGTGCCCTGGACACTCTAAACTCCTTACTGAAATCTGGTCTCAAGTAGTAGATCCACACAACTATGTTGTGCTTCTGTGGGTTTTGTTTGTTCTGTTTTGGTTCCATAAAGGAAATTGATGGCTGCAATTGAGAGGCATAAACAGTCGAAAAAATGTTCCTATACAACAATTTACTTTTCGCTGTTTAGTTTCTTCATTCCACAGAGAAAAATATTTCAATCTGTAGTTATTTATTTTATTTCTTTGATAGATGTATCTCCTGCCTTTCCTCCAAGAGCTCAAGGTCCCTTCCATGGAGAGGTCTCTTGTGTTTATCCCAGCAAGAGCTGACCTGTGAGGTAGGGTGATCTGAGAGAGAGAGAGTGAGTGTCCCAAAGGCACCCAGTGAGTTTCTGTAGCTGAGGGTGGAATTGAACCTAGTTCTCTTCAATACCAGTCTGTGACAATAATCACTTCAGTGGTTCTCCTAACTGTCTGTCCATGAATATAGGCATATCAGAGAGGTACAGCAGATAGATATGCTTGAGATTTTCATTTTTTTTTTAAAAAAAATAATCATTTACAAAGGAATTTTAACTCAGCCTTTCAACTATGGCTGGCTTGTGATAGCCGTAAAAAATTCTGAAGGACATCAGATTTGATCAATCTTCCCCTGCCAGGCATTTATATCATTTTTTTCAGAGACACAGAAAATATTATCTGATCTGATGCCTCATAAGCATTCACCTTATGAGATTATTTGGAAAAAGTAATTACAACATACAAGATAAATAATTTGCTATATATTTCACAACAAAACAGCATCTTGAGGCAAAATATCTAAAAACTATACCATAGAGTAATCCTTGTTTTCCCAGTGGCAGAGCTGTCTGTCTGTCTGTCTATCTTCTAATTTAGAGATCTCTTATCTCTAACCATAACCAACATAAGCAACAGACTCCAAAGGATTTTCCATCAGATTCAAAATGTCCCATATAGTCTTATTATGGGATTCCTTTCTATACACGTACATCTTCCCAAAGTCCCAATGTTATATACAGCATAAATACTATGCAAAATTTACATATGACATTCTGCCTAATTACACGCAGGAGAGACCAATATGAGAAGGAAGATGGAAAGGAGAAAGAAAAGGGAGGGAGAGGAAAAGAACTGACAGGAGAGAAGAATAGCAAGTATGTGTATGTAGTGGGAGAGTAGATCTCTGTCATTGATTGGTTCACTTCTCAGGTGGAAGCCCTCAATCCCACCCTGATAAATTTATGGAAGGGAAGAGAATGAAAAAAGAGAGAAGTATGTGTGCAAGAGAAGGATTGGTAGAGGAAGTATGTATGTGAGGGAGGGAGAGAGAGGAGAGAACAGAGTGAGCGAACTCATTCCTTTAATCCATTCTTGGATTAAAGTTCTGACAGAGAGTCCTTCAGCAGAATGCACTCCTTAAGAAAATATATACTCATCCGTGTTCTCTAAGTTAAAAATTCCACCAAACTTTGCAGACTTTCAGTAATTGTTAGAAAAATCTCTCCTTCCCTTTAGCAGATAGGATTTTGTTTTTTGTTTTTTTTGCTTTTTTCCTTTCACATTTTCAGCTGGATCTCCATGTAAAAGAAGGAAATGGAAAGAAACATGTTAGCTCATTTATGTCAAGTGCCAGTGGTGAATTATTCCCTGTGGTATGCTCTCAAGTGCTGCATTCTGTGGTCTATTTTTAAATGATTCTGAGAGTAGGGCTTTCCCTGCTTTGCTGGGGAAGACTACACCATAATTAAATTGGCCTCTTTGTAAGGGGATTATCTTGTTTCCTGTTGGCCAGTTTGCATTCTCCCTTTGGCCATGGTCATCTAAATTGCTTTGAGTACTTATATGGAAGGGTGTTGCCCAGTTTTCTTGGTTCTTGTCTCTCAGTTCAGCTTTTTAGAAGTTGGCATAAACCTAGGTTAGAGATAATACTGTCTGCAATCGCTCTTCATAATGTGGTGCCCTCCAGATGTTTTCTGATTGTCACCATTCCTTATAGCTGGCCATGCTGGCGAAAGCAGCTAAGGTACTCCAAAACATCTGGAAGGCATCACAAAGACGGCTGGTCTAGGCTTGAACTTTTGAATCTGAGTCTTTCTCCAGGAATAGTTGTGGCTTTTGTGGTTGTGAGATGAGCCTTACTTTGGATATGCTCTATCTACTGATACAAGACTCGGCTGTTGAAATTTCATTCTGCAGCATTCTTCAGAACTTTTTTTTTTAAAAAAACAACAACCCTGGAATTGGGGTTGCTGTTTAGGGAATTGATGCGACAGCCTGTCAATCAGTTTTCTGGGAAGACTGGGGGAGAATGTGCTCATGATTAGCTATTATTTTTGAAACTGTAAATTGGCTTTCAGTTTAGATGTTTGTATTCCTGCCCAAAATGTGGGTCAGGTGGGAATACAGTTTCACTGCTCAGCTGTTAGATATATAAAACTCTATAACAGTGACGGCGAACCTTTTAGAGACCGAGTGCCCAAACTGCAACCCAAAACCCACTTATGCATCGTCGAGTCCCGGGTGGGCGTGGCCCATTGGGTGGGTGTGGCCCATTGGGTGGGCGTGGCTGCGGTGGTCACGGCAGACTGGGCGGGACTAAAAAGTTCAATCAATCAATTCCAACTTTGCAAGATCTTTTTTCCCACGAGAAGTTGAAATTGACTGATTGAACCTTTTTTTTTTTTTTTGGCACACGGCGGCAGAGGCCTAAAGCGAAAAGGTTTTATAAAACCCAGCTGAAGGCCTAGGACTGGGACGACGGCGCGCGTGCCCACAGAGAGGGCTCTGAGTGCCGCCTCTGGCACCCGTGCCATAGGTTCGCCACCACTGCTCTATAACATCTAAGCAGCTTAGCTATATAGTTAGAGCAGTGCTTCTCAACCTTGGCAACTTGAAGACATGTGGAGTTCAACTTCCAGAATTCTCTAGGCTGGGGAATTCTGGAAGTTGAAGTCCACATGTCTTCAAGTTGCCAAGGTTGAGAAACACTAAGTTAGCGGGTTGTCTTCAGCAAGTTACTATTTTCTGGCCATTTTTCTGCCTCATTAAGATTACTGTTAATAGTAATGATTGCTTAGCTTTGGGACTGGTCAACTTAGTATAGTCTTAATATTATTAATATAGGCCAAAGTGATGGGTATGGTGTAATGTGGAGCAGTTGTTTGGAAAAGATAGTGTTTGGCGTGAATATTCAGCTTGGAAGTCACTGCTGGTATTTTTTCCAGTATTTGTTCTTCATGTGTTTTATCTTCCCAAGAGGAAGAAAGATCCGGGCAGTATCTGCAAAATTGCATTTCTCCAGGCTGAAAAAAATATGTATTTAACTCTCCCCAAGCATGCTTCAGTGTTATTTATCATTCTCAGACCAACCACTTTTATGTGTGGTCTTTTGGCAGGGTGGTGGAGGATGGTGGGTAGAAGTGATCAGTTATTCTATAATTGAAGATGCCACAAAAATAGCCATTTAAAACGCTAGCACTCTCCCACCCACCCACCCACCCACCCTCCTGATAGGAAGCTAGCAAGCTGCAAATAAAGCAGAGACTAACGTTTTGTCCACCCACCTCCTCTCTCTTTAAACACAGGAACTTTGGTCATGGAAGCAAGGACACGTGGTGGATTCTTGGCAGTCGGCAGTCTGTGGAGCATTTGCAGGTGCAAAGGATTATATGTTATCCTGGGAAACATAGAAGAAGAAAAGCAGGGAGGAGGGACAGAGCGCAGCTCTATGAAGGCCAGTGAGGCAGCCGCATTCTTTTATAATTCCGGTTTGTTTAGAGTGAAGAAAATGGAATGTGGGGAAGGGTGGAGATGGAGACAGGGAGGAGAAGAAGGTGAGTCTAAGAAGCCCAGGCCAGGGTGTCGGTTTGAAAGACAGCCAATTTGTTTTTGGCAAATTTCTGTTATTGAACAAACGGTCTGTCAGTCAGCTTCTGGGATTATCCAAAGGTTGAGCAGTAAAACTCTCAGTGAGGAGAACGTGCATTTGGGTGCGGGTTTGTGCAGCTGCCTGCCCTGAGCTCCTCTCCAGGCTCAAGGGCCCTCCAATGATTCACTCTTCATGTGACAGCTCTGACAGGACTCTAGATTAAGGAGAGTCAGGAGAACAGAATGTCTACCCGCAGCAGCCTCCAGGCGGAAACTTTCCATGGAGGAGAACCGGAGGCTGAAACATCTGGGCAGTCTCCGGACACTCTCCCTGGAATGAAGAGTGGCAGGACATTCTCTGGGATGATTGATTGCAAAAGAGACTGGGAGTTAATTGAATTCTTAAAGAGCCACCTTGCCCTATTATAACAGCCTGCTTTGAAATAATTTCCTTTCAGATGTCACAAGTGGCCCATCCCACCCATCTGACAAAGGAGCGTGGAGGGGAAGTGTAAATGTTCTGCTAGAAATCTGAGATTTGGGGGCATTCAGGATTGAGTGGCAAAAACCCTGCAAAATGCACAGCCTCAGGTTCTGAAGGTGGAGGGAAGGAAGGGGCAAATAGGAGCAACAATGGTACTCTTGGCTTGTTGCTAAGCAAAACTCACCCAGTTTTAATATAGGTAGTCCTCGGCTTACAACCATTTGCTTAGTGATCGTTTGAAGTTATAAAGGCCTTTGAAAAGTTCTAAACCTTTTGTTGTCCTTCTCATTATGGCTGAGGTATCCTAACATCTGAAGTCTTTTCTTAGAAATTAACAGTTCATTCAGATACAGGGTAAAATAAAATAGTTGTATGAATGATTAAATAGCTGAAGATGCTCTAGCAGCCTTCCCCAGAGCAATTATAATATACTCCCTCACAAACAGCTGCATGGCCAGTTGTCATGGTGATTGGGGATGATGAAAGTTATAATTTGACATTTCTGGAAGAGTCAAGTTTGAGGAAACTGCTAAATGTAGTTATCTTTGTAAATACTGGTTCACTTACTCAGTTCAGTTACTTACATTGCATGAAAGTATTTTAATACATCAGGCTTCTCTTTCTCCTTCATATGTCAGTCTCCTCCCATGCCTTTATATTTTTACTATTTTTAGGCAAGGTACTTAATGCACTTACTCATTAAAAGCAAACCTTTTCCATCTTTCCATTTTCTTTGCCAATATATGCAAAGTCACTGGAAGAAATTAATGAACATTAGGTACTTATTAATATTATTACTATTTCAGACAATGAAATTACTTGAAAATGTAACTTGAAGATTTTGTTCCCATTCTCTTTTAAGGCTCTGTAATCGTTATTTTTTGAAAAAATGATCTCAGAAATAGAAATAAGAATATTTTCCCCTGCCCTTTTCAATGTCATCTTGAAATTGAACCACTGAATCAATCAAGCATAAACCAGAAGACATTTTCTGGTATAATGTTTGCACTCAGCTTCTATAGTTGTGCTTGGAGCATTAAGTTTTAGTTGCCTTGGTGTCCCTTTGTCTGAGTAAAGAACCCATTTCCTTTAGTAAAAGCTTCCTAGTGGTTTTAATGAACAACACAAGAACTGTATACATGCTGCCTAAAAAAAAGTCTTGGACAGACATAATTTGTGGGGTTTTGCCAACTATTGGAGTTCCCCTTGACTTTAACAAAGTTTTGGAAGCTTGAACTGGACCTGGTTTCTCAGTTCATATGTAAGGTAGGCTATAAATTATCCTCTTTTTAATAGAAAGAGGAATGCACTGAACACAGGGACTGCATATTCTCTACTTGTGTACCATTATGCCAAACACTTTTTCCACATCTAGCAGGGAATTCTGAGAAGAAAAAGGCTTGAAGTCTACTCAGCTTCTCTTATATTATGTAAAACAGACTCTCCTCTTTTGTATAAAATAAGGAAGACAGATAAATAGGAAATGGACGGCCTCACAATTTCTCAGTTTTGTATAGTTTTGATATACCTAGAGTTTGTGTCTGAGGTAACATGGTATCCCACAGGCAGTCCCAGTGGTGGGATTCAAATATGTGAACAACTGGTTCTCTGTGTGAAGGCCGCTTCCAGAAGTCCATTCTGGGCCAGGCAACAAAAAATTAGCTACTGGTTCTGCCAAACTGGTACGAACTTGCTGAATCCCACCACTGGGCAGTCCTCAACTTACAACTATCCACTTAGTCCCTCTTCAGAGTTAAAGAAGAAACACCTCAAAGATACTTATAACTTGGTTCCAAAGTTCTGATGGCCAGCCCCATCTCTCCACAGTCACGTGACCTCATGTTGGGTGCTCAACAACCAGTCCACGTTTACAGCCATTTGCAGTATCCCATAGTCATATAACTGCAGTTTGCAATGTTTTTTTGCCAAAATCCAGGGTATAATTCCAGTTTTTGGCAAAAATACCCCATAGCAAATAAAGAATTTGGTTAACAGCCACCGCAAAATGCTCATAAAATCAGGTTGGTCATATGATGACCTGCTTTATGACCGTCTCAACTGGGCAGGCTCCATATGGTCTTAAGCTGAGGACTACCTGTACTGGTATTTGGGTTTTCATGAGCTGAGATCTGGGGAACATTGTCTGATCTGTGAAGAAGCTTTATGTGGTTTGGGGAGAAGCCATTGCTAAATCTCCTTAAGCTGCTGAAATGCTGACTTTCCAAATTGGATTTTGAAGGAGTCACAAAGTGTATTAACAGTTGCTGAACAAAAAGCCAGTATCGTCACTTATTTTAGTTCTCATATTCCCCTGCAGGAGATTCTGGCTGTCTCAGTCTTTTCATATATCTTATAAGAGATCAGGGAGCAGACTCTAGACAGAGTATAATTTTTTTTTAACCCTCCTTTCCCATGAAAATTTAGAAGCCTAAAATATTTCGTCTACTGAATTGCACATGGGTCATGAAGAGATGGAGATATATGATTACACTTCAAAATTAAATCGGACATAGTATAAAATCATTTAAACATACATAAGTAAGATCAGTTGCCTCTGCATTATTTAATTCAGTTACAGTTTTTTGGGGGAAGGAAAATAAAAGTGTACAAACTCAAGCTATGTTGCCAATACCACAAAAAGCATATTCAGACACTAAGACTGTCTCAGACGCCCTCTGTGCTCGTGGTCTTTGCTTTACCACAAAATTTACTTAAAGTGTTCTAGAGGTCAGAGAAGAGGCGGGGGGAAATGAAACAAGGTACATGCACATTCTGATTTTAATCTCTCACGTTAGCCAAAAAAATATTGTTGGCTGCTTTCTTAACCAAAAGGTTGTATACTTGACAGAAAAAACAAACATTACTGCGAAGTTAAATCATCAACACTATCCTTTTCTGTTTTTAACGCCGTTAAAACTCGAGTGGTTAAAGTCAACTTTCAATGATGTTTTATCAGCTTGCAGTGTGTTTTTTGGTTATGGGAATACAAACTTTAAAATACAATCAGAAGCCTGCAATCAAGTAATTGTCCGAGTGATTGAAATAAAATGAAATTATGAATGGGTTCCACCAGTATCTTCTTTGTCTTCCATATACTACCTGCTATTTTATTTAGTTTTTTATTTATATCCCACCTTTATTATTTTTACAAAAAAATCAAGATGTCATGGTTCCGATACAGAACTACAAGGCTTGAGTTTTCCTCTAAGTACATGTTTATTGGATACAAAGTATTGGCACGGTCAAAAGTGAAACCAAGACTAAAATCCCCTCCCAAAAGCAACAGTAATACAAAGTTACAGTTCCCACCCCTCTGGCTATGCATTCAACTATGTTCCCCAATAACATATCCAAGTGGGCTTTCCAACACTTGAATTATCCTCCCCAGCTGAGGGAAACAGAAATGACCTTGGTTCCCACGGGACTGAAAACTGTTTAGTCTGTTAGAAAACTTCCCATTTCTCCCCCCACCCCCAATCTTGTGGCAACTGGAAACAAGGAAAATGGCTTTGGCCAGGTTCGTTGCAAGGTTGACACAAGACAGCAAACATATCCAACACACTTTCTTCCTCCTGTTTTCCCCACAACAACAACAACCCTGTAAGGTGGGTTAGGCTGAGAGACAGTGACTGGTTCAATGTCACCAGCTGGCTTTCATCCCTAAAGTCTTTGAATCTTTCTTGAATCTAATTTTAATTCCAGCCAAATTGAGGCACTTTTTCTAATATGTATGAATATGCACGAATATGAAGAATTATTGAATATAAAGACATGAATGAACCGTCTTGAAGTTAGATAATGTAATGGTAATAATCTAAGTGCCAGACTATACAGTTATCAAAATTGCAAGTAATAGTAGATCTGTTGTTTTGCACTATTATTTTTCATTATTATTTATTAGTATTGCTAATCACAATAATATTGCAACCAGGTACAAACATCTGTGCTACAGGCAAATACAGGTAGTTCCAAGATTTTTTCTGCAATTGTGTTATATTTCCTTCAGAAAAAAAACACATTTAAAGTGCCATTATAAACCTAAAAACAAAAACGGATAGGTGTGCTTTAGTAATATGCTTTTTCCATGTGTATTATAATCATAAGATAGAGTGTATTTCTCACCATTGGAAAAATTCCTGCTGGAGTCTGGAATGCCCAGTGTGTAACCTGGAAAAATGTGTTTTTAAGTTTATTTTTTAACTATAATCATTGATACAGAATTATTATTTTGAATCTTCCAAAGAGTAAAATAGATCTCTCTCCTTCTCCGGAAAGCTAGTTTTTCACTGTACAGGTAGTCCTT